TGTACATGACTTAAAATGCCCTAGTTTTATTAATAACGTTTGGCTTGTCTTTATATTTAGTCTGTAGTGCAATTAGCTCTCTCTAAGGTCAACTAAAGCTGACCTTTAGTGGAAACTATTTTCTGTTTCTATTGAGATATAGTGAAGACAGATGGCAACACATATTTGAAGAAACATCCTTACAAGATCCTCTGTTGTACAAATGATAAAATTAGAGGGTATGAAAGATAATACATCATTTATCGTAGATGGGACACCTGATCCAATGTTCCAACAATCAATAACAGTATTTAATTTGGTAAAAATTAACCAGAGTATTTAAAATATTTGTCTCTTTCTGTCAGTTGGCATTTAGTGATGACAATTTTAATATAATAGACTCATTTTGATATCTTGAACATTTGAACTTGTGCAATTACTTGATGAGAATAGATTATGAACTATTTTGTTTATAGAACTGATTGTTTAAAAATTTAATTATGTCAACTTTTTGCATGCAAACTAAATATTTTGACTTCTAGTTGTTGTTTTAATAAAAGAACATGGTAAACTCTTAGATGGAAAAACCAAAATTAGAAAAAATATTATTTTCTAAAAATTCTTGCACTTTCTTTTTTCTCTTCTCTCCCCATAACATTCCTTCTTTCTCTCTCTGGTTATTTTTCATTTGGAAATGGTTTGGGTGAACTTAGTTTCAAATTATGGTTCTGGATTTCCAACATTCACAAGTTACCGAAGGACTAGGTATTTTTTCTATAAATTAACTTTCTTTTGCCTCGTCTTAGTCCTAATATGATTGTTGCTTTTCTTCCTAGATAGACATTCTTACTATTCTCATTAATTCATGCACTCAATCTATGTTACCTATGCGTTTATTGGTTGTACTGCACGTAGAAAACAATGGGCAAACCCCGAAAGGGTTGTTCAGTAATAGGATCCTATTTCTATACTCAGAGGGTTTGTCTTCTAATAGAATAGGTGATTCATCCACTCAAATCATATGATATATGGTCCAAAGAAATAAAAAAAATTAAAATAAACTTTAGAGAAGGGCAGGCAATATTCTGTGGGGAATTCGACAAGTTTGCATCAGATGGTGATGCCAATTACATGACTCATGGTCTAAACTGCTTGCCTTTCAATAAATGTGTTACCTGAATCACTCTCAATTCAATACTATCATTTCTATGAAACTCATTTTTTTAAAATAATTAAGTGCAAATATTAAGCAATGTAAATGTATTCTTTTGTATAAATGTATATTATATAAGTTACTGCACGATATAACCAACCTTTAGTTATTCTTAATTTTTGAATAATGTAACTTGATTTTTAAAATCTCAGACTTGAGTACAACATAAATTGCCTAATGATTCTTAACTTTTTCTATAAAATCAAAATACCTTACAGGGGATTACCAGGGTTTGGTGACAGTGATGTAGATCATCAGTAGCCCTTGAAGGTGTTGTTCTCCACCTTTGGGAGAGGTCCAGAAGGAGAGTTGCTCATTTGATCTTGCTACTGGAACTATCATTTTAAAAATGTTTTGATAGAGTACATCAAATTAAAAGTGTAATCAATATTTGGGTTGTTGGAAAAGTCATGACGTATTTTGTCTATGTTTTTCAAAGATCATTTTTTTATATAAAGAACAAAGTCAATCAATGGTATATTGCCCGTTTTGTTTGATAACCTTTTGCCATCTTTCAGTGAGCTTCATAATTCCTCGTTCATAGAAGGACCTGTCTTTATTTGCGAAAAACTGAACAAGGTGCTGATTTACAGCCTCATCTGAATTAAGCATTATACCATGCAAGGAGTTTTGAAGAGAGCGAAACAAGTGGAAGTCTGATGGCGCAAGGTCAAGCGAATATGGTGGGTGTGGCAACACATCCCATGGAAGCTCCAATAATTTTTGATGGGTGATCAAACTTGTGTATAGTCTCGCGTTGTCACGATGGAGCACAACTCCTTTACAATTAACAAGCTCTGGACATTTCTGGATGATGGATTCATTCAAACTGTCCAATTGCCAACAGTACACATTCGAATTGATTATTTGATTCCTTGGCAGGAGCTCGAAAAACACAACACCTTTAAAATCTCACCACACTGAGAGCATAACCTTCTTCTGATGAATGTCTGCTTTCGATGTCGTTTGAGGCGAATCATCATGTCAGAACCAAGACCGTTTGCAAACCACATTGTTGTAAACAATCCACTTCTCATCACCAGTTATCAGTTGCTTCAAAAAAGGATTGTTTTCCTCACGTTTAATGAGCATATTGCAGATGTTTATACACGCTGTCAAATGAACTTCTTTGAGTTCATGCGAACCCAAATATCGAGCTTGCTTATGTATCCCAGCTTCTTCAGGTGGTCATGAACACTTAAATGATGGATGTTCAATGTTTCTGCAATCCCTCGTGTTGTGTCACACGGGTTTGACTTGATCAATGCCTTTGTTTTGTCGTCATCAACCTCAGTGGGCCTTTTTGACTGAGGAGCATTGTTGAGATCAAAATCACCAGCACGGAATTTTGTGAACCATTGTTGGCACTGACGTTCTTGTAGAGCATTGTCACTGTAACCTTTTTGCAACTTTTCACTAGCTTCATGTGTGTTCTTTTCTTTATGGACATAAAACAGTAAAATATGGCAAAAATGCAGTTTGGTCTTCCATCTTCAACTTTTTGTAAAATCTCCAAAACTCAACCAAATCGCTCAATTTTTTTTTAAGAATGAAGCTAGAACTGTCAAATGACATAGCAATAACATAGATGCAAATGACTCTAGTACTTCCAGAAATGAACTAGTGCTATCTGTTGCAAACATGCGTCATGACTTTTCTGAGGACCCAGTACACACATTTGTCTCAAATATTCTGAGATCTGATTAAATTATGACCAATATTGGTATGACAGAGGAAACCAACATAATTTCAGAAGTTCACACAGATCATGATGTATATTCTTTGATATGGCCTGTAGAAAATCTCTTTGTAATTTCTTGATTTACCTTATTCTAAGGAATTTAAAAAAATGATTTCTATCTCCAATAGATTCAATCTTTAAACCTCTCTTATATTTTCCCTGGATGCTTGAAACGTTTTTCAATGATGCTAACAGCGGTGTGGCTAAAAACTAATAGAGATTCTACACATAATGATGCAGTCAGCCTCCTTAATAGGAACTGTTTTAAAATAAATTTCCTTCAGAACCACTAGCAGACAAATAGATTTGGGGGCTTTGTGCTTATCTTTGAACTTCCAGTTTGGTAGCTCAACTGTTCTCACTTTTATCTCAGATCAGCCAAAGCTGAAGCTATAAAGTCCCTACCCCCTTTTGTTAGTCAGAACCTTTATAGCAGCAGTTGTCAACCTTTCACAGGGGTCGCCTAAGACCATCGGAAGACACATATTTTTGATGGTCTTAGGAACCGAGACACTGCTCCTCTATCCGTCTCCAGGCCCACATGCAGATATGCCTACATACGAGTACCCGGCGACCCCTGTGAAAGGGTCGTTCGACCGCCAAAGGGATCGCGACCCAGAGGTTGAGAACCGCTGCTTTATAGCTTCATATTCCTTTAGCAAAACTTTTCTATTCTGTTCCCTTTATAGTCTTGTTATCTGAATTATGTCAAAATGTTTAAAGATGTTAGTGATTTGAAATACTTCCCCTCCAAGAGGGCACATTAACCTTTGACAATAGTCTTCAATTCTTCCTTCAATTCTTAATTGAACAATGGTACTCACTCCTTAGAGGAGTGAGTGTTGATTATAAGAGATCAAATAGCAGACCCAGAGGAGATGTCTGGGTACCAAAAGGTTTTTGGCTGCCCATAGAATCTTTTTGGTCATTTCTGAATTTAAATAGACCTTATCCAGAATGTCTAGATATATTTTTTACTATATTTGTTTCCTAATCATTAAAGCTTCAATCACTATGTGAAAAGTCGAGTCATGGTGAAACAATCTGAAAACCCATTCAGCGATGCGTACTCAGCAATAAAAATTCCCTGATTTAACCCAGCTGATTTTTAGAGCCTGACAATTTATATTTCCACTGTTATTGAAGAAAGCACCGAAAGCATTATTGCCTGCTACTGTCCTTCCTTCCTCTTCTAGTTATGAGCAGGAGATGCTAGAAACACTGTCTGTGAATCATCTGTCTTTAGCTGCCATCAAGGAAGGAATGTCTTTCAGAGATCATCTGGAATTTGACTTTGATAATGTCGTGCAGAGCAGTTCCAAAAATAAAGGCGGGATTGTCGTATCCTTACGGAACAGCTTGTTTCATCATTGTTGTTTTTCTCATGTAGCCGTGTGCCTTGTTTGGTGGTTTCTGTTTCTCAAACGAGCTAAGAAGAGCCGTTCTGTTTCTGTGCTGTGGGAATGCAGGAGTAAAGAGTCTGTGTTTTTGAGAATAATGTTTGGCTCAGACAAGGAGCCTATGTTCTGCAAGCGTAATGTCTGATGCGTCTGAGGAGTATTATATAGCATCCATGGGCATTGAAGCTAAGCAACCGGATGGAAATACCACGGTCAAATAGAGTAGTGTTTATTTATCGGTATTGGATCGAAACTCTTACTAGAAAATATTAAATTAGAATATGTAAACAGGAAGTCTGATTTGCTATCTTGTTTTTGCCTGATGGGTAAAGTCAGCACTGATGTTTGGGCTCTCGGGAAATTTTAGTTATCTTTTTGTAGCTGAGGCTACTGGGCTTTGAGGGAACACCCACTTTAGCTGTGCTTATCTGTATTTACTCTAATCAAATAAGGATGGATTCCTACAGAATGTAGTCTTAGAATATATGCTGAAAGACAACACAGAAATTTCCTAATAGCTTGGTAGCTGTATATGTGATAGTTAATAGATTTTCTCTGCCATCTGTTGAAGTTCAGGGGAGGACCTCAAGATTATTAGTAGTCTCATAATTCACATCACATGTTATAATTTACTTCCATATCTTGATCTTCTTTATTTCCTTTTCAGATACTAGCTCAGTCATGCACTGAAATCCTGGAATTGCAGCCCTCAAGTGTCTGTGTGGGGGGTAAGTGGTTAGAATTTAAAAATACCATGTAAGAAAATGTATTTTTTTCCTAGTTAAAATATATGATTTGAAGCTCATGTTGGAAAGAGGATAGCAAAATTAACTTTTTTGGCATCTTTTCCTGTAAGAATTTTTAAATAATTCCTTGAAATATTTCTATTTTAAATTCAAATTTTAAGATTGGAGTGTTATTTTAAATAATGAACATATTGTGTGACAGGCTTTTAGAATCTTCTGTATATTTAGTTCATGTTTGAGACCTTTCCTATGACAAGTAAAATAAAATATGCATTTTTTTAAATTTTATCTGATGATATAAACAGTCATGTATCTGTAGACTTTGAGCTCCATGCTTTGATGACCTGGCCCAAGTACAGTATCGGCTAGTTGAAGGCCTGCAAGGAAGGGACTTACGGCTGAATGGCAGGAAGGAAGCAGGTGGCTTCATCAGCTGGTGCTAAGAACAGATTCAGGCTTTAACACTTCCAAGTCATCCTTACCTAAAGAGAGTGGGATTCTCTTTGGTCTAGGCTATTTCTTCTTCAAGTCTGACCTGGAGTTCATTTTAACCTGACTTGACTTAGAGAAGCAAAAATATTGGGTCTTGTGAGGGAGGAAATGTGCCATGTAATTTACCACAGAGCCTTCCAGCTGCAGGACATGGTATTATAATAGTTCTGCTTCTTTTAATCTCTTTAATTAATGATGATTGAGATATTTAAGAGAAATAGGGCAGTCTGGCATCCCAGCAGTTTTATAGTCCCTGGTTCACAGATGGGAAAACTGAGGCAGAGATAAGCTCAGTATTTGCTAATAGGAATTATTCTACTACTAGACCCTTGTCTATGACTCTAAAGCTCATATTCTTGTTCCTTTTTCTGTGTCATATTTTAAGTTTACCTGCATTTCACTTTAACTTACAAGTAAAGTCCCTTTTATAAAACACTCCATGGAGAGTGGCATGACAGTATTTTCTTGTATAGTTAATTACTACATATGTGTTAGATTGTGTTAGATAGGGGGTGTTTGAGAGGATGGAGACAGTTAATACAACATCTTGTAGCTAAGCAGCAAATATTTATTTGCCAATCAAAATATTTGATGAGTTAACTTTTCTTCTAGCATATTTCACTCTCTAACATTTAGTGGCTGCTCCTATATAGATAGAGTACAATAAGTTAAATCAACTTTCTTTAGCAACTGGCTACAGATTATGAATAATGCAAAATTCATCACCCCTGACGAGTTATAAATTTGTATGCAACAGAAAATGAAACTGGGATTGGTAACGTGCAGAAGCTGTTAGAGAAGAACTCTGTATGGAGTGTCATAGATTAAAGAAAATACAACACATGACTGTTCTAAGAACCAAAGCACAGAAATAATTTTCTTTACATTCCCATACCTCAATTCCTGAAAGTAGAGAAAAACAAAAATGTTTCTTTTTTGATGATTCTCTCCTAAGGATAGAATTTGGGAAGTTTGTATGGTATCTGTCTGGGAATGGCTGTTACACTTCAATTCTAATATCTTGGTCACTATTGGGAAACATTTTGTTTAAAAAAATAAAATGGCTCCCTATGTGGCAGTGAATGGTATCTTCGCTGTATTTCCTTAAAGGGTCTAAGAAAGCAAGTAGAGTTGAAAATAGAGCCATGTCTTCTTCGTTATTAATTGGCTGAATAGTCTGAAGAAATTCATTCTATGCACCTCGATACTTTGTGTCTTTCTTTTTTTTTGGTAAAGCCGTGATTAAAATGTTTATTTTTCCTTTTACTTCTAGAGGAATTTCAAATTGTTTTGAATGGAAGAGGATTCAACCTGGGCCGTCGGAATGGCAGTGTTCTGTGTACTTACACAGTAAATGAAACGTACACAAAGAGTAGGTCCACGTAATCTCAATGTTGCTTTAATACTTGCACAGCAAGTCAGCATCAAGTGTTGTCCTCTCTTCCCCAAGTATTTTCCTCTCTTCCCCAACTGAAACCAACTATCCTATATTTTTTTAACCAAAGGAGAAAGAAATGAAGTCCAATGATGATACAAGTAGTAATAATAATTATTTAATAGTTATTTCATGATGACAATATTTGTTTATAACTTAGTACATGCTGGACCCCATCCTGAGTAGCCTCTTTATACAGAGGATGGTCTTGTGGGTGAACAAGTCAAATAACTTGCCTGTGGTGACACAGTTAATAATGGGCAGAGCTGAGAGTTGAACCCAGGTTCCTGACTGCACTTTGTATGGATTTCATCAACCACTTGATTTAATTGCCTCTATCTCCAGATTTATTTCTTGTCCCTCTTGCCTGAAAATCTAACTAACTTGGGCAATTCTACTACTTATTGTCTTATTTTATTGTCACTCATTTTCTTTATCTAATTTCCCTGTAATTTGTCAGTCAGCTTTTTGAGACAGGCTTTTTGTCTTATAGATATTTTATATCTCCAGTGCCCACCCAGCACAGTATTTGTTGATAATTATACTTATGGAATTAGGTTTTATTTTGCCTAGCTAGGCTTTCAAAAAAGCAGATGAGTATAATGTTTTTATCTTCATTCTGAGAAAAACTTCTCTTACATGATCTTAGTATTCTTAGCATTTTGGGTTTCTATTAAGACATTTTTTGCCTCATTGATGATTATAGTGTCTTCTAAAACTATATACCATAAAGCAGGTGCTGCAATCCTGTGAAGTCTAGTAGAATTATTTTTTGAAAGGTTCATCTTCAATTTTGCTGTTTATCTGATGATATTAAACATTATAATTAGCACAGCTTTGGCTACACTCACAGTAACTGTTCAATATGTGTTTATAGAAATAAAGTAGTGATGATCTCAGCATGATAAATGTTATAATGAATTCCTCTCTTTCCTATTAAGATCATCATTTTGGTAAGGCAAGACAATAACATTTTAACAAAGTCTGTTCATAGTATGTACCACAATTGAAGAGGACAAAATGATTTTCTTTCTATTCAGTAGTCATCTGTACTGAGCATTAGCTTTACCTAACTCTTTTTGATGACATATTTGAGTTGATTATAATATAAACATATTTTATACTTAGCTACATAAGATTAAGTTTATTAAAGTAAATCCTCAAACAAATAAGTAGAATAAGATTGTATTTTCATCATTCCCATTCTAGGAATATTCATTTGATTATATAATGTTTCCAAATATTTATAGTCTGGATCATTTTTCTCATTATTAAAATTACAAGGACAATTTAAACATTCAGATTTATAATTTTTTTTTTATCATAGATACAACTATTTTATAAAACTCGAAATAAATTCCTTCTTCTTTGGACATTCATCTTTTCTTCTTTTTCATCATTTTAAAATTCTTCTTTAAAAAGACAATTTTTTATATACAATATAAATATATTTTTATATTTTAAAAATATAAAATGATATACATATATGTAAATATAAACATATATACATCATTTATCCTTAAAAAATCTAAAATATTTACAAAATTGAGGAGATAGATAATAATTTTATAGTATCTACAAATGTATGTGGACTTAGTCTAATTTAAAAAAATATAATTTACTGATACTATATATCAATGAAGCATATCATCTCTATTTTTCATTCTGCTTTCCTTCTCTTTCTTTAAATGAGTATCTTTTTGATTTTTCATGCTAATATATCTAATATTCCACATTTGGACTCTGATTTCCACATGCTCTTCATGTTATTAATGAAACTGAGATACATAAAACCCTTTATTAATTCAGTGGCATTTTATTTTTCAGGTGTAAAGCCAGTAAGTGTGCAGCTTAATTCTATGCTTTGTCCTGCACCTACGCTGAATAAAGTTGGAGAGTAAGTACTTCATTAAAAACATTTTTAAAACATTTTAGCTACAAATCATTAGGAAATGGTGACAAATATACAGTGATTATTTTATTGTATCTTATTGTACAGATTAAACATGAAATAGCAAGCCCTAGGCAAACACTGGTTAATACTTGAACTATACTCTTAGTAGGTTGAAAATGGTAAAGTCTGTTTTATTGTGAATATTGATTAAAAGGCTGTATAAATATTTATCTGGCAAGTTTGAGAACTATTGTTAGACTTTTATTTTTTACATTTATTTATTTTTTATTATTAGTTTCAGGTGTACAAAACAACATAGAGATTAGTCATTTACACACCTCATGAAGTGATAACCCCAACAAGTATACTACCCATCTGACATCATACAAATACCACTGACTATATTCCATATGCTGTACTTTATATCCCAAGACTATCTATTTATTTAAATTATAGTTGACATTCAATGGTATTTTATATTAGCTTCAGGTGTACAGCACAGTGGTTAGACATTTATATAATTTATGATGTGATCCCCCCAATAAGTCTAGTACCCATCTGACAGTATACAAAGTTTTTACAATATTATTGACTATATTTCCCAGACTGTATTTCACATCCCCATGACTATTTTGTAATTACCAATTTGTACTTCCTAATCCATTCACCTTACTTACCCATCCCCCAAACCCCCTCTTATCTAGCTACCATCAGTTGTTCTCTGTATCTATGAGTCTATTTCTGTTTTGTTTGTTCATTTATTCTGTTCTTTAGATTCCACATATAAGTGAGATCATATGGTATTTGTCTTTCTTAGTGTAGCTTATTTCACTTAGCATAATACCCTCTAGGTCCATCCATGTTGTTGCAAATGGTAAGCTTTTATTCTTTTTTATGGCAAAGTAATATTCCATTGTATGTATGTACCACAATTTCTTTATCTAGTTGTCTATTGATGGGTATTTCAGTTGTTTCCATATCTTGGCTATTGTGAATAGGCCTGCAATAAACATAGGGGCTCAAATATCTTTTTAAATTAGTGTTTTGTATTTCTTTGGATAGATACCCAGGAGTGGCATTGCTGGGTCATATGGTAGTTCTATTTTTATTTTTTTGAGGAACTTTTATACTATTTTCCATAGTGGCTGCACCAATTTTGTAATCCCACCAACAGTGCACAAGGGTTTTCTTTTCTCCATATCCTTGCCAACATTTGTTGTTTGTTGATTTATTGATTGATGATGGCCATGCTAACAGGTTTGAGGTGATATCTCATTGTGGTTTTCATTAGGACTGATAAATAAATTTAGTAAAGTAGCAGGATACAAAATTAATGTTCAGAAATTGGTTGCATTTTTATACACCAATAATGAGCTATCAGAAATAGAAATTGAGAAAACAATCCCATTTGTAATTGCATCAAAAAAATACCTAGGAATACATTTAACCAAGGAAATAAAGACCAGTACTCAGAAAATTATAAGACATTGAAGAGAGAAATTAAAGAGTATACAAATAAATGGAAACATATACTATGTTCATGGATAGGTAGAATTAATATAGTTAAAATGTCCATATAATCTGAAGCAATACATAGATTCAATGCAATCCCTATCAAAATACCCATGAGATTTTTTACAGAACTAGAAAAAATAATTCTAAAATTGAAACCATCGAAGACCCTGACAGCTACCGCAATAATGAGAAAGAAGAACAAAGCTGGAGGTATCATACTACCTGATATCAAATTATACTACAAGGCCATAGTAATCAAAAGAGCATGGTATTGGCATTAAAAGAGACACACAGATCAATGGAACATAATAGAGAGCCCAGAAATAAACCCAGCCTATATGGTCACTTAATCTATGACAAAGGAAGCAAGAATATGCATTGGGGTAAAGACAGTGTATTCAATAAATGGTGCTGGGAAAACTCAACAGTTACATGCAAAAAAAATGAAACTGGACCACCTCCTTATGCCATATACAAGAATATACTCAAAATGGATTCAAGACTTAAATGTAAGACCTGAAACCATAAAACTCCTAGAAGAAAATATAGAACGTAAACACTCAGACATTACCCTTAGTAATATTTTTCCTGATACATCACCTTGGACGAGGGAAACAAAACATAAAATAAGCAAATGGGACTACATCAAACTAAAAGTTTTTTCACAGCAAAGGAAACCAACATCAAAATGAAAAGGCACCCTACTGAATGGGAGAAGATTTTTGCCAATGATACATCTGATAAGGGGTTAATATCCAAAATTTATATAAAAACTCATACAACTCAAAACCAAAAAACCCAAACAATCCAATTAAGAAATGGGCAGAGGACCTGAATAGACATTTCTCCAAAGAGGACATACAGATGGCCAACAGACACATGAAAAGATGCTCAACATCACTAATCATCAGAGAAATGCAAATAAGAACCACAATGAACTATCACCTCACACCTGTTAGAGCTTTTAAATAGTCAGAGCCATAGTCATTATTTTGAATTTCAGAGTATTGAATTTACACACACACACACACACACACACACACACACACACACACACACACGAGTTCCAAAGTGAGATTTTTAACTAATCACTATAGGTTTTAAATACTAAGATTAAAGAGAAAAAGGAACATGCTCAATAAGGCACCCCTCAAACTTGGAAATATTTGTGCTTTAATTGGTTTCTCAGTCCTGTTAAGGTCTATATTCTCATCTTTTTTGACATGGCAATAAACCATAATGATAGCTGGTTAAAATAGGGATGTTTCATTTGGAAGAAGAACTTTATTTGAATCACCTATGCGCAAGTGATTTCACTAGTATTATTTGAGTATTTCCAGGTGTGATTTGTTTTCCTAATTTCTCTATTACGAAGGAAATGATTGCAAATAGTTCAAACGTTTCCTAGTCCAGTAGTAGTCGATGCAATATGTTTATGATAATGAATAGGTTAGTTATTAGGGTCACTTTATACTGATCTTGAACCTAGAGCAGAGGAAAGTAAAATATACAAGGCCCCATCCCAAAGTCTGGAATAGTGTTCAGAGCGTGAAGATTATATTTTGCTCCACAGAACCTAAGAGAATCATTTTAGTAATGTGAAGCCAACTTGAGCACTTACCTTCTGTGAATGCTTAAATATTCAAGTTGTCTATTGGAAATCACCACTGGTCACATAAGTAAATTGGAACAGTGTCAGCTTTCTATTTTATTATTTTTATAAATTAATTTTTTTTGGGGGGGGAATTGGGGGGATGGGAACAGCGGTGGGGAATTGGGGGAAGGGGAATAGACAAGTTGCTGTTGTTTTGTTCTTCAGTCTAGTTGTGGAGGACGTTGCTTCACTGGCCCAAGTTGGCACCATCATTGCGCTCTTCCCGGGTGAGGCAGATCAGTCGCTGGCTTCTGGACGGCCGCTCACTGCGGCTACTGGCCGCTCATGCTGGCTGCTGGCTACGTACGGTAGCCCATGGCAACCCACTGCCACAGAGGACGCAGCCTAGCCGTCGTTGGCGACTCATGGCAATCCAGCTCCAGGTTGAGCTGTTGTTCAGCATCTTAGCTGTAGAGGGCAGTGTCACTGGCCCTCATATGTGGGATCCGAACCGGGTCCCTCTGGCGTCCCAAGCCAACTCTTAACCATCGTGCCACTCAGCCGGCCCTCAGCTTTCTATTTTAAATTGATGAAAAGGTGCTGCATAATATCACTTATAAAAGTGATATTATAGTAGAAGCCTTTTTTCTTTCTATAAAAAAGCATTCATTTTTTTGTGTCTTCTAACAATCTAATGTTATTGACAACATGCTTATGGCTATATTAGACTGTTTCTTGGAATTTGAGGCAGGCCCATTTTGCCTAGAGCCATCTTAACTCCCTGTGCATGGGGAAACGCCATGGCTTTCTGAGTAATCATGTCTTGTTGTAACAATGATAAATCTATTGACTTGGAGTTGGAACCTATTTTAACAAATCAACAACTCTATGTTGATTTTTCTGATTGTTCCCCATTCTGCTCCCAGATCTGCCTTTTCTTTCTTAGTCATTGGAAGCTCCATCTTTTTTGTTGTTCCAGTCAAAAACCTTTGGTTCATTAATTTCTCTTACATGCAGGCCATCAACAAACCTCATCAACTCTAATTTCAAAATATGTTCAGAATCCAGTCCTGGCACTACCACTTCCACTGATACCATCCTAGACCAAGCTAGTTCTATCTCTTGCTTGGTTTATTAGCCTATCCACTGGTCTTTCTGCTTCTGTCTTGGCAGGCGTGATCCTGTTAAAATAAATTGGTTTTTGTCACTCCTTTGCTTAAAATTCTATATAATGAGTTCCCCATTCCACTCACAGTGAAAATCTAATCATTACAATGTTCCACAAGGTTCTGCAGGATCTGGCCCCTCACTGTGTCTCAGACTTCATCTTCTTTTTGCCCCTCCTGTTAGGGTCACGCTGGACTCTTTGCTGTTCCTTTTTTTTTTTTTTTTCCCAGCCTACGCCAACGCTGGCGACTCTTGGCAGCCTAGCTCCAGGTTGAGCTGCTGTTCAGCATCTTAGCTGTAGAGGGCAGTGTCACTGGCCCTCATATGTGGGATCCGAACCGGGGGCCCTCTGGTGTTCCAAACCAGTTCTTAACCAACGCGCCACTTGGCCGGCCCTCTTTGCTGTTCCTTAACCACGTCTGCTTCCTCTCACATCAGTACTTTTTACACTTGCTGTTCCCCTGCTTAAAATGCTATTCCCTTCATGGCTCACTGTCTCACCTTCTTCAAGTATCATTCAGAGGTCACCTTCTTAGTAAGCCCTTCTTGATCACCCTTATGTAATCATACAATTTTCCCCCTCCGTTTTTTGGAACTCCCTGTTCCCTTTTCATGGTTTATTTTTCTCTCCAAAGCATTTATTTATTTGTTTTTGTGTCTCCTTCCTGCTTGGATGAATTTTGTTTGCCTTGTTTCTTGCTGTATCTCTAGCACCTGACACAATGCC